AACAGTGGCCGGGAGCGGCCACTGCACTCCAGTCTGAGTGACAGAGTGAGACTCCAACTCAAAAAAAAAATAATAATAATAATAATAAGATTATGATGAATGCTAGAGCTGACGAGTCATTCAATTTGCAAGTGATTGTGTTTGTTCATTCATTCTACAAATAGTCATTGGACATTCACACTCCCATGCCAGGGCCCCTAATGAATATCCCAGAGTATCACTTGTGTTATGGACACATATGACTGCCAAGTAAGTAATGACTGACTCTTCAGAATAACTCAGCTAAACTGCCCCCCACCTCTGCCTCCAGAAATAAATGAACAAACAGCAATCCCCAGGTTTTTTTTCTTAGTTGACCTACCTGCCTAATTTCCCTGGCACTAAATTTTGACGTTTTACTGGCAACATTTTGGCATATTTATAGGGGCTACATTTTCCTTGTAGAAACAAGTATTCACTTAGTGATTTCCTGACATTCCAGATCAATGGACACTTATTGGTCGTGTGCTGTGGGTCAGATACTATCACAGTCACTATTTACTAGATCCTCACAACAGTCTGTGAGGTAGGCATTGCTTCCATTTTGCTTATGGGTTAACTGAGGCTCAGGCAGCTATATGACTTGCCCTGGATCCCAGAGTAAGCAAGAAGTAGCAGATAAAAGACAGGAAGCCATCCTCAGCCTCCTGGGCCAGGAGGCTCTTTCCTCCCCTGTCTTTGTGGGGTTCATGTGTCTCCTCATCAATCCTGGAAGGGTGGCTGTGCCTGTGTGCCTCCTGTTCTTACTTCCCATTTCTTTCAGTGGCTGGACCCCCCTTCCAGGGGCTCAGAGTCTTTTCTGTTAGAGGAAAATTTCGCTAGAAAACCAATACTCCAAGGTGAGCTGCTGGATAGTTTGATGCCTGCAGGCTTTCTAATTTCATTTGCATTCTTTAAAAAAGAAGACAAGACTCTTAGACTGGTCAGGAAGAAGTGAATATCAACTGCCTGCTTGGAGACTCGATTTTTTAACCTATAACAGCATGGAAGTTAGTCGATTAGCAGGTCTTCTTAAACTCAGTTCTATGCCTATTGTGGTATGGTTTTAGAGTGTGGTCACTAGCTGAGAGAGTGAGTTCAGAAATAGGAATTCACTTTAGCCCCTCAAACTCTACATTCAATTGAAGATGCCCTTCCATTGTGTGAAGCCCTGCCCCAAACTTGGATGGTACCTGATGGATGGTACTGGATATCCCTCTGTTTTCACATGACACCAAATCATCTAGACCTGATAGTCGCACAGTGAAATCATCTGCAATGTCTGGGCAGGTCTCTGACTTGCTGGATTTGTAAGTCATCAGCACTGTTCTTTCCTTTTGCTACCAGGAGGGCTGTGTCAATCTGGGGCTTTCAAGCACTGGTCTCCTTCTGACAAAGTGAACCAATCCCACAGCCCCAAAATAGTGGTGCTCATGTATCCCAGCAAATGAATGTTTACCCCCCAGTGAAACCCAGCACAGAGCACCCTTGAGAGCAAAATTGGATTTGGGTGCATACATGCTATTGGTAAAAAGGGCTTCCCGCTGAATGCCGTGCAGGGACTGAGTCTGAATGTCCCTGCTGTGGCCCAAGGGAATCATGGCAGTATCACCAAACCAGTGCTGGCACCTGGGCCTTGTCACAGTTGACAGGACTGAGAGAAGGTCAGCTGCACTCAGGGCAGGTTTCTTGGGATCAGGCAGAGGCAAGAGGCAGAGGAAGCAGCTTGCCTTGCCAGCTCACCAGGTTGCTCTGGAGAGAAATAGAGGGCTTCCATCTCTATTACTGTCAGAGTCTGGCACCTCTCCCCAGCTCTGAAATTCACAGCAATGGATGGAGGAGGGAGGAGGGAGAAGGAAGGAGGTGCAAGCCAGACAAGCAAAACAGACACAATATTTTGGAAGTGGAATCTTCCAGCTAGAGAAAATTCTCAAAAGCATTGAACAGTAGGGCTGGAGGAGGGTCTAACTAATCCAGCACCCTGGTTTTGCAGAGGAAATAGTTGAGAAATAGAAAGACAATGTGACTTCCCTGAGGTCACAGGGTCAGTAAGTGGCAGAACTGGGACAAAGATCTGGATCTCTGGTGCCACTTAAAAGAGGGCTTTTGAGTCCTTTCTTTATAAAAATCAGAGACTGGGGGGAAGGGTTCTTTTGTGGGAATCCCAGTGGAGCCAGAGGATGCTTGCTGGCAGGCCTGGCTGTGTCTGGACCTCGGGGTGTGCTCCTACCTTGCAGGTTGACTCCCCGGGGCATCGGGCCCTGCAGCTCCACCGTGGGGAGCTCATCCTCTGCTGCATTGGAGTTGTTGGGTGGAACTGCTCTCCTGCCTCCAAAGGCGGGCCTGGAGGTTTCTGACATTCTCAGCTTGACAAGGTCCTTGGTGAAAAAAAAGAAAAGCAAAACAACAAAACAGAAAAGGCATGTGAAGTGAGTTATATTTGAGACCAGCATTCCAAAATAGAGAAGCAGACATTTCTGTGTGTGATCGCACTTGAGCAACACATTTTGAGTTTCACATAAATAAAAACTGAGCAGTGGCAGCAAGGATTAGTTTAATGATGGAAGACAGTTCCCCAAGGATCTTGGGGAAATTTTGTGTGTGTCAAAACATATGGAAAGTACAAGAAAGGGATTTATTTGAAGAAACGAAAAATGTAAAAGATTTTGGAAAGCAGAAATCTTCCACTCTCAATACTCCTAAAGGCAACATCTTTGTCAGAAATTTGCACTGCTGTATGCATGTGTGGTACCTATGCTCACTTCATAGAGATTTATGATATTATACGTCATTTTTAAGAATAAACTCACACAGCCATGTCCAGATAAATGTTGTCCTCCAAAGCGTTCAAATTTGTGATTTGATTCGATCAATCTTTTTGTATCAGGCTGTGATCTAGGTACTTGGGATACATCAGAGCACAAAACAGGATTTCTGCCCTGACAGCTTACAGTCTGGTGGGGTTAGGGGAGAGCCCAGTAAGATTCTTAAGTAAACCTGGATGGGGCTGAGGCGGTAGGAACTGCTTTGGAAACAGAACCATGTGGAAGAGGATAAGGAGATGGAGCCGTTGGTAGGTGGGACAGAGGCCCACTGCAATTGTAAACAAGGCTGTTCATAACTGCATAGGCCGACGATGCCAATATCACCCTCCTTTCAAGCCTACTTCCCCTTCCCTTGGAGCTTGTGATGGCACAGAGCCATTTTAAACAAAACACACCTGACTGTCAGCTCCCAATAAGAACTTGTTGACCAACTGACCAAATGAAAGGGGACTTTGTTTCTGGACCCAATTAAGTTTCACCCCTCAGTCACCTGGATTGCCCAGTCATGACTCCTGGCAACCTGGCTGTTTTAAAAAAAAATCAAGCACACCCTCAGAAGATGGAGAGTGGCCATTAAAGAGGCCAAGGGAGTAGACACTGTTCCAGAAACATGTGGAGGCACAGCCACACCCTGGGGACAAGAGAGTTACTTCCTAAGGCATTTGGTCTTGGAAGGAGAGAGGAGTGTCTGGAAGGGTGAGATCTGAATAGGTATCCACAGAAATCCATAAATGTATTTACAGTCACTAGTAAGCTGAGGGGAGGAGAGAGAGGAGGCAGGGAAAGAGGTCCTCTCCTCTGGTCGCAAATAGCAAGGGAGGGCTGTGGACTGCTAGGGTTTGGGGGAGAACAGTGCAGAACAGCGCGGCACTCTGCTGGGAGAAAGAACTACCAGGGGAGAAGTGGGGACCCCAGGCGCCCACCAGGAGCGGGTGCAGGCCTGGAGGTACCTGCAGGTGCTTCAGGGCGGGTCTGAGGGAGAGGATGGGGAAAGGCGATGCGCGGGGGGTCCAGCCAGGCGGGCGTTCTAACCGGGCCCCCACCTCTGGTGTTCCTGGTCAGTGCTCTGTCCCCCTGAGGAAAGGGGCCTGTCTCCCAGGGGAGCGCCCCTACCCTACCGCCCTTATTCCGTTTCGGTGACCTTCTCGCCTTCAGGAGAGTTTTGTGGAGAGTAGGGGGTGGGGGTGGGGTCCCGCCCAGAAGTGGGGGTAGGCAGTGCGGAGTTGCCAGCGAACAGCCGAAACTGGCTGAGTGGGGCTGCCGCTGACCCGCGCCCCGGTCCGGAGCAGCCGTCTGAGGGCTCGCCTCGGGGACTGAGGTGCAGGGAATGGACGCCCGGTCCTTGGGGACCGGGGTGCAGGGGCGGCGGCTTACCTGCGTGCGCCCCCTCCAGGGATTCCCAGCAAGACTTGCTCCGTGCGCCTGGGGACTTCCTCCAAAGGACGCAGGAAAAACGACAAGAAAGTTGGCTCTTAAATAACCTCCTAAGAGTCCTCACTTCCCTCCCCCGTCCCACGGGGTTTTCTCCTCCCCCCTTCTTGACAGCTGGAGCGATCCGAGGAGCTTTGAGGACTTTCCGTTCACTTCTGCTGCCCGGTCTGTTATTTCGGCGTGCCCCCCGCCCCGCCCTTACCCCTCTTGCTAGCCATTTCCCATTCCTGCTCCTCTTCACCATCCTAGCCCCAATTCTGCCTCCCCCGCCCCCTCCGCCCTGGGTTGCTGGGAGTACCAGACAAATGGCCCTGCTGTCCCCACTCCTCCCTGGGTCAGAAGGGCTGGAAGAATCCTCACAAAGGAACCCTATGGCCATGTGGGTTGACCCGTGTGGCTTGGCAGAAGGGGGGGTCTGCCCTCCTACAGACAGGGCACAGACAGTTGTGACCATGCATCAAGCGAGGGTAACATGTCTCTCCTGTGCAAATAAGGCATGGCCTGCAATCTTGAATCATCCTCTGAGCTGCAGGCATGGTCTGACCACAAGACTTCCTGCAGGAAAGATGAGTAAATACCCTGAAGAATGCTGCACGCATTAGAAAATAACACTTTGTTTTTTCTCAGAAAACCATTTTTATTTATCTTCAAAATTTGCAGAGAAAGAAAAGAAAATTTTCCATATTTTTAAAGGCTTTTTATGTGTAAATACTCCTATTTTCAATCATGGCTATTTCTAACTGCCTTTACTGACTTCAAATTTCTGATCCTGCTGCTTGATCTAACATCATAGAGAAGAAAAGAAAGAGATGCCATTGTTTAGGAATTCTCTCAATGTTCTGCTACCAAATCTATGAACTTGCCTGCAACCTTATCTATCTTTTTCCTCTTTCTTTCGGTTACCAAAATGGGAAAGTCTCCCCCAAACCCTCTCTTCTCCAAATCAAGTACTCTGGTTCCCATTTGACTTATTCTCCTGGGCTTTGCTGTACCTCTTATCCACTCTTCCTCCTGTATCTTCAAACTCCTGCTCTCCAGCAGTATAGATGCAATTTCAAGTCAAGTCTCTTCAGCATTTTTTCAAGCCCTCCTTCATCCCATGTTTCCATAGCTGTTGCTCCTCCTCTCTCCACCCCTTCAGTGCTAAGCTTCTACCCTCTGACTGCCTCCCCATTAGTCCACTGAAACTGCACTCAGGGTCTCTAATGACTGAGGCTCAAGCCAAAAAACAGGATTGTGTTCTCAATTGCTTAACCTGGATGCATTGGACCCTGTTGCCTACTCTCTCCTTGAAAATCTCTGACAGAGGCCTCTGGGACATTGCATTATCTATGATTGCCTGCAGCACAACATGATATCCCTTGAGCTCAGCTCTCATGCTTTTCAGTTTCCAGCTATATCCCAATACCTCCCAAATCTGGGTCTCTCGCCAGGACCTTTTCCAAAGCTTCAGACTCTCCTATCTAACTGCCTTCTGACCATCTTCGCCCAGCATATGCCAGTGACAAATTACACTCATCATGTCTGAAATAAGATATAGAACTTCCCCTGAAAATTTGGTCCCTTTCAGGAGCTCCCTGATTCAATAAATGCCACCACCTCACATTCACTTGCCAAGCAAGACACATGGGTGTCATTCTTGACATATCCTTCTTTCTCTCCTTCAATACTCAAATCCAATCCTTTAGCAAATATTTTCTATTCCACCTCTAAGACATCACTTGAATCTATTCACTTAGCCCCTTCCAATCCATTCTCCACAGTGCAGTCAGAATGAGCTTGGTGGGGATCAAATCTGAAATCAAATTTTTTGCACAAGGTCCTTTTATGGTGACTTCTCTTTGCTTTTAGGATAAACTCCAAATCTAAACGGACAAGGTTCTATACAAGCTAGACTGTGCTTTCCTCTCTGGACCTGGCTCTTTCACTCTTTCTGGACACACTGCCTTGTGCCGCCATCCCCATCTGCCCCCTGTGCAAGGCACAGTGAACCTCTCAGTCTGTGCATTCTGCCAGAAATACACTCCCTGCTCTTCTCCTTCTCTGGCCACAGGACCACTTCCTGTTCACACCGCCGATCGATCTCAGCCTAAATTGCTCCAATGTCGTGCAAGGAGTTTGCCTTGTTGTGGTGCTCCTCATGCTGTACAGTCATTTTGTTTCCTTGACTGTACCCCCACTAGACTACTCAAGGGGAGGGGACTCTAGCCAGAGCTTCCCAGAGAGAGGCTGCTGGCCACTCACCTACCCACAGGCCATCTTTTCCACACTCTGTGCTGAGTTCTAGAGAAGACTACAAGGAAGATGTCACCCTACTCTGGCTGTTCCCTTGGCGAATATCAAACTGGAGTGTTCAGGATTCCTAGATACCCTCATCCATATGGGGTTTGGAGACAAGTGGCCACCCTTGTACCCATCAAATGAAGTTATGCGGAATCCAGGTCCCCCTGGAACTCTTGGTTGAGTTGTACACTCAGGGCAGTTTGTATCTTCACAACCACCTCCACTGGTGTCACTTTTGGTCTGAGACTCATTAATGGTTGTATGAACGTATACACACATTGGGTGGCTTTCTGACTCCCCTAAACCACCAACTTGGTATCATAAATGCAATGACTTCCCTTGCACTTAACAGAGTCAATAAATGGGTGTCCCTGGCACTAAGCCCTAGCATGTGGTTGAAGCCCATTTATTTTACAGAGCTTTTTCTGATGGTCCTATGGCTTAGAAGTAAGAACAAAGGTTTCTGATCATATGATGAACCTTGAACTGTGCCAGAAAATGTGACTGCCACAGAAATATCCTGGGTGCATGGACTCTGAGGTTCTTAAGAATGTGATGGTGTCTTTTATTTCTAAACAACCCTTGACTAGCATGGAGTTTGCACAATGTAAATATGTTTAAGGAATATTACACAGGTGGCATTCAGCCAGGAAAACAAAAACCACTTCAGGTATTTTTAAAGGATGGAATTTAAGTCAGGGGAATGGTAACACAGGTGATAAAAGAGAAAAGAAGCCAAACAAGGGAAAATTAGTCAACTCTGCCTTGGCAACAACAGGGAGGAGTTGTGTCATCACAGCCCAAAAGCTGGGTTTATATGGCAGGAGCTGGAGCCACATAGTCCTGTCTGGTGGGAGTTTGAAATTTACAAGTAGTCATTGCCAGCAATGCTGTCTGAGGTCAATAGGGAGGGACGAACTATTCTAGCTTGCTAATTTCTTCCCCTTCCACTCTCCCTCCATTCCATTTGCTGAACTCAGGTAGAATCAGTCAACAAAGGAGTGTGGGAAATACATTCTGCAAAGTTAGTCCCACACCTCCTGTGTCAGGGGTCCCCAGTACTATTCCTGGGTTCTATGATTCACTAGGAGGACTCACCAGACTCAGCCATCCTCATGACTATGATTATATATAAATATGTATATATTATAGGCCAGGCATGGTGGCTCATGCCTGTAATCCCAGCACTTTGGAAGGCGGAGGTGAGAGGAATGCCTGAGTTTAGAAGTTTGAGACCAGCATGGGCAGCATAGCAACACCTTGCTTCCACAAAAATTTTTTTAAAAATTAGCCAAGCATGGTGGTGTGCACCTGTAGTCCCAGCTACTAAGAAGGCCAAGACAGAAGAATCACCTGAGCCCAGAAATCAAGACTGTGGTGGTCATAAGCATGCCACTACACTCCAGCCTGGGTAACAGAGTGAGACGTCGACTCAAAAAAAAAAAAAAATATATATATATATATATATATAATAAACACAAAAATCAAAATCAGCAAAGAGATAAGACACTTGGGCGAAAAGTCCAATGGAAACCAGGTGGAAGCTTTCAAGAGTCCTCTCCCAGTGAAGCCATGGGACTGTGCTTAAACCCCCGGCAACGAGCTGTGACATGTGTAGAATGCTGTCTGCCTGGGTTGCTCTCCAGGGACTCAGTTCCCATGGTGTTTATTGGGGGCTGGTCATATAGACACTCTCTGCCTAGCTTATACCCAAATTCTATACTCCCTGAAGAAAAGCAAGTGTTCAACACAAACCACAATTTTTGCAGTTAAGGCACAGTGAACCACACTTGTCAGTAAGGCATGGTGGGAAGACTCTTGAAACCTAAGTTCCCAGATGATCGCCAAGGGCCAACCTTGCAAGCAGACCTTTCTAGGGCCAGTTTCAGGTTTGCTATGTTAACTCTTTTTTGCACACCCTCCCTCCTGCCATCCTCACTTCCTCTAATACAGGGAAAGGGAGAGGAGAGGCTCCCAGGACAAGCAGTTCTAGGGCTGGCACAAAAAACTGTGGACTGTCATAGTGGTATGACCAGTCCCTCCTCTCCCTTCCAGTCATTGCTGTTGTGATGTCAACAATGGCCTAGGGCAAGAGGAAACTCCAGGGGGAAGATCACCATGGTAATTCAGTTATGCCCCTGTTCTCCTGGTCTCCCTGGCTCAGGATGAGAACTTTGAGGACTTGTGCATTCCCTCCGACTGTATGGGCCCCGGCACACCTTCTCATTCTTCTGCAGCTGAAGGGGTCGTGATCCCAGTGATCTGTTGACAGAAACTGGAAGAAAGTCATCATTTATACCTCATTGCCTACCCAACGGGCAGGACAGGAATGCCCGAACACATCACTGTGGCCTCTTGGCTCCTCTTAGAAATATGTTGCCACCTGTGGGAGTTGTGGGTAAACAGAAAATGCATGGGAGGAGGGATTCCAGGCTCCCTCAACTTGGTCCTTTAATTTTGAGTTTTCATTTCTGTGGTATTAACACTCTTCTCTCCAGACAAACCATCTTTCTTCTCATGGCAATACTCAGAGAGCAGACTGTGTTTGCTCAGGCGATATATTTTCCTGCAAACTCTATTTGATTTACATGCAAAACTTCACATCTCAGACAAACAAACAAAAAACCCAGCTATGTCTGGATGCTGCTGTTTTTTTCCAGCTGAACAAGACCTGAGTTTTGTTGGTTATACATGTATTCCAGAGAAAGATGAATGGATATAAATAACAAGTGGCCTCGTAGAAAGATGTTAGACCCTA